ATTATTAGTATACACACACAACCTATCCTCCGCCTTCGGACACTGTGCTGACATCGTCAACAAGCTCAGAAGTCTCCGAAGATTCCGAAGAATGGCGTGTCGACTTGCCTCTGGAAGGATGCTTCTTCTTTGACAAAGAAGTGGTGGTGGCTGTTACCTGTGGCAATACTTTGCCAACAAGAGCCTTTACCACACTTCTGTTGGCCTGAAGAAACGCCACATCATTGACGAGCTTCGCTGAAAGTCCATGTCTCTGAGGACGTAGAATAAACTTGAGTGCCGAGAAAAGGCGCTCCACCGACACCTGGGTCGCTGGTATGCTCAGAACTACCATGGCAAGCTCAAATAGTTCCGGGCAGAGCAGCTTCCTTTTAGCCCAGTAATCGAAGACACTCGCTTTCCGGGACAGTGGTGACGTGGAGCGCTCGTAGTCGTCGAGTGCTGCGCGTAGAGCGGCCCTCTGCGCCGCACGACCCGCTGGTCCCGCACGATGATCTGACGCGCCCTGTGACTGGCGTAGCCGCTCCTTGTTCTTGGCCTCGAGGAGTTTTGAGAAGAGATCTTGTTCACCATCGGAGTCGTCCCCATCGCTGTCTGAACTCAAGGTGGTATCTGCAGGAATTTCGGCAGGTCCCTTGACCGCCTCCATCCTCTCCCAGAGACTAATCAGGTACTTCTTGGCGTCGTCAACCTGTTCCGGCGACAGGATGGAGAAGAATCGAGGGTCCAGGAAGAGGGCAGCATTAAAGCTGGGGTAGTTGAAGAGCGGGGAATACCGCTCGCCTTTTCTTCTGTCACTGTAAAGGACTCGCTTCTCCCGCGTCTTCATCGCCTCCAGGAGAGCCTTGGCGAGTTCCGAAGACCTCTTCCGCTTCTCCAGCTTGAGCACCACCCCAGTCCAGATGGCAAAGAACTCTCCTAATGTTAGGTCTTCCCTCTGAAGATCAGTGGTCGCCTTCCGTGCCGGACCAAGATCTTCAAGAAGTGCGTCCACGGCCTTCCACTTGTCCTCCGAGAGACCATGCTCAATTTCATCTGATGTCTGTGTCCACTTCAGAGTCATGGTGACAAAGTTTCGCAGGTTCATTACACTCTGCAGCATGTCATACGTGCTGCCCCAGCGGGTACAAACATCAAGCATGGGCAGAGGGAGGTTGGCTGCTGTCAGTTGGCGTACCTGAAATATAAAAATAAATTATAGAATTTTCGCTGCGAAACGTATAGGAAAATAAACACTGAAAATCAAACAGTGTGCTGAGGACACTGTTGGATTTTCTGTGCCGGCTACCCTGTCAATTAAAATGTGTACATTGTCTTCTTTAAATAAAGCGTACATGGCAGGTATACTTTAATCAATGTTTACATGGCATGTACGCTTTTGTAAATGCGTACAAGCCCATGTACGCCTTTGTAAATGCGTACAAGGTCACGTACGCCTTTATAAATGCGTACAAGGTCAAGTACGCATTTATAAAAGCGTCCATGGCATGTATGCATTTATAAAAGCGTATACATGGGCATGTATGCATTCATTAAAGTATGCCTGCCTTGAACGCATTATTTAAAGAAAACAATGTAGACGTTTTAATTGACAGAGTAACTGTTTTCGTACGTTTCCTTCGGAAACATTTGTACAATTTAATACACAAATCTATTATTTGAAAGTATTTTGCAATGTAAAGTTGTTAATATTTTTTTAATCTGATAAAATATAAAAATGTCAGTTATTTGAAAAGGAATAAAAGCGTGTTACTGATGAAACCCTCTGGTCATTCTGTATACCTGCTAGTATAGAACTGAACATGACATGACTAAAGGAGCTAAAATATTAATAACGGGAGGGTGTTCACCAAGAAATCATCCAGAAAGTACAAGCGTCATTCATCGAACCGCTTCCAAACCCGGTCTATGCAAGCTGATAAGCCCCTGATAGATAGGAAGCATCTACTGTGCAGTGCATTCGTGTGCTGAAGGGTGGCCTACACCGAGTCGCGAAGGCGCCAAACTCCCTTAACTATGATTAGCTAAATAAATCTGAGAAAATCAGCGGATGTAGGCCTACCTTTGTTTCCTGGAGGAGGTATTTTGCCAGGCCCCGGGCAGACTTGATTGTTGCTTGGTGAGTTTTATTCACTTTCAAGGCATCTTCGATGGCAAGTGATAGAATGTGTGCCGCACATCTGACACTCTGCAACTTGAAGTCGTCCTGCAAGAAAGGAGAAAAAATTCATGTCAAGTTTACTACCAATAGTACCGCTATGCAGGCTGGTCGGAAGTAATGGTTTTCGCCTTCGCCTACACTTTTAAAAATAATTGGCATCAGACGACACACTGCGTGATGACACTCTCGTTTGAAAACAACAATGTTGTTTTTATTTGAACCCTTTCGCAACTTGTGATTTTCAGCCTATACTGTGCGACAACAGAAACTAGTTGGTATTACTTTGCTATGCATGTTCAAGAAAAGTC